GACTGTGTGAGTAGTCTGCTCTCTCCCAGTAGCCTTCGCATCACTAGTACCATACGTCTTCACTTGTTAGTTAGTATAAATATGCAAATCCAATAGTTAAATGTGCACCATTTGCTTGCTCAAATATAAGTGTCACATGTACACAGTCTTGGATGTTTTTTTTTTTTTTTCCTACAGTACAAGTTTACACAGAACCGGACTAACTTTTCCTCTGCCCTGCTACATACATGTTACCATTACACATAAAGCACACCCACACAATACAAGAATATTATATTGATAATAACACTATAAGGTAACTTTAGTAACACCCTCCTCTCCTCCGGAGCTCCGCTCCATCATGAGGCCCAGCCTTCGGATAACCTCATCCTCTTCACTGAAGGGCTGTGCTGCTCGTCTTGACTGGACAAAGGCCGCAGCAGGAAACTGTCGTTTCCATGGTGATCGTCTCGGTCTTCACTGCCTTCATACGAGCTGCCACAGCTGGACGCGCTGTCACCCGGAGAGCGTCCAGAGTCGTTTGGGCCACGGCTGTATCCTGAAGCCCCCAGAGCACTGCTGACAATACCCCCACTGCGGTCCCGGGGTGGAGAGGCCGGCTCAGACTTTATGTGAAGATTCTGCTGCGTCGATGATAGATTGAGGTTGGAGTTCTGACATAAGTTGCTGAAACACAAAAATAAATTTGCTTTGTCATGTTTGTAAAATGATAATATAGTGTTATTACTGGCTTAGTGCTCACTTCATGTGTCCCAGTGCTGAATGCTGAAGGTTCTGGATCTGTTGCTGCTGCCAGCCAGTTACAGACCCTAGTCCTGGACTACCAAAACCAGACAGGGAGGAGAGCTCACCTCCCAGCGAAAACTCTGAAAACAAAACACATATTTTCATTTATAAAAAATGAAGCAAAAACAGACAAACAACATAATTAAATTATACATATTTTAGTTGACATATGTGTTTTTTGCTTTGGGTGAAAGTTGCTATATTATAATGAATAGATGTTGTTGTACCTGTTCCATAAGGAGAGGAAAGTGAGGAGGGGTACCCGCCCATCCCCTGTCCAGGTAAATTAGGTGCCGCAAGAGACACAGCAGGAGTGGTGAGTGTCTGGGCCGTTTGGGAGTGATTTATCCTTTGATTCTGAAAAACATAAAAAATGATAATAGATGAAATGCTTAAGAATTGTTTTGTTTTGTTTTTAATTTGTTTTCCTAAATATAATATACATTTTATAGCAGATATTTTCTCTAGACAGTACAATGTGGAAAAACTTACCAGCATCTGATCAAAATCCTCACACTTTTGGCATAGCATTAAAGTGCAAAATATAATTATCTAATGCCAAACAATGTACAAAAGAAAAAGTATGAGAGTTACTACTTACAATAGTGGGCATGTTGTTGCATTTGTTGGAAGGGGGCATCAGAGTTCGTAGGTCGGGCTTTCGGCTCATGCTCATTGATGGTGGACTCTTGTCTTGCAGATTCTTTGAGATCCCCGGTGACAGCAGTCCCGGGGAGGGGCAGTGATTATTATAGTTACCATTTACTGCTCAGAAAAAAAACAGACAGAAAAGACTGCAATAAACTATCAGCAAACATATAATAAAAGATAATGAAGTAAAGTGTTCTTGATAATGGACGGGATTTTAAAGATAAAACTTACCAACATTGGAGACCAGCTCTGAGCTCATCAATCCTAAAGTCAAAAGAAGAATAATTTATTTTTCCTCTATAAAAAAAAAAAACACACACACACACAAAATAGAAAGAAACAAACAAAAAAAGTTGTTCACAGCAACCACACCTGTGTTTCCGGTGCTTGGTGGCCGCTGAGGAGACATGCTGTTCCTCTGCAGAGATGTGTGGGACAGGGGAAGAAGGTTGTGGCTCCCCAAACCACTCCCCCCGATGGCAGGATGAGGGTACAGCAGTCCACTGGGGTTGCCACCCATTGACACACCCATGTCGTAGTTTGAAGAGGGCAAAGACTGTTGGATGTAAATAGTGAATTTATGTCAGAAAATTGTGATCTGACTTTGATTTAATACTAAAATTGTTATTAAAGAGAATAACGTACACAAATTCTCTGTCTGTTGATCATGAGGTCAATATCCTCGTTAATTTTGCGATACTTGTCTTCAGACTCTGGGCTCTGACCAGCAGAGTCATCCGCTTCAATGTCGGGACTGTCACAGCCATTTAAGCCCTTTTTACGCAGTGTCTGTAAAAAAGGAACATAAATAACCCATAAATATTGATTTCTTGATATGATACACTTTAATACACTTTCTGTGTCAACCACTTGGGGGTGCCATTTGAGCACACATGATTATCCAAAACGCATATTTACACAAAGCATAGCTTCACATAAGAGGGTTTAACAAAAAAATCTGATTAGAAATTTTTAAATATAGGAAAACACAAGTGAATAAAAGTTCCAAAAGTTGAGAGCAGGTCAGACAGACAGCAGACTGTGAGCTGTACAGTATGTGGTTTGGCTCAGGGCAGCCTGGTTCAGCACTTCACAGCCCATTAGAGTGCTCAGTCACTGGACCACTGAGGCCTATCCCTATCACTCACACAGGGGACAGAACATTTGGCCCAGTGCTGTTATCCCAGTCATGTCCACCTGTTTAGCTCCAGAGAATTGGGTGGGGAAGGGGGGGGGGGGGGGGGGGGGGGGGGGGGGGGGGGCAGTCTCAACCACCACCAATACAGCTCTAGCTACTGCAACGATGGCCGTAGAAGGCTATTTTTGCTTATGTGCACTACAGCCTTCCTCCCTCACAACCTGTCTGTCTGGCTCCCATAACTGAAACCATCAAACCTTCAGGCCCTCTTTTATTGTGAAAATCACAATGACTTGAATCATTATAATAAAACACCTTTCATTGTCCCAGGACTTTTTCTAACTCTCAAATGTAGGCGCCTAATCCTCTGTCACCTCCATGTCAGGTGTTACCACAGCTCTGGGGTGAGTTTGCACAAAGTGCCAAGTGTCATAATGAACAGATCTCATAGCATTTCAGTGGTAATACAGACACGAGATGGGTCTTTTGCAAGAAAATAGACAACACACCTTATTGGTATGACAAACAAAAAACAATCAATATTATAAATAATATAACATAGTTAAATTATAATTAAAATGAAAAAAAAAAAAAAAAAACACACAAATTTTACTTATAGACATATTGAAACATTATTTAGATAATAAACATATATTTTGTCCTACATCTCATACCATACTTTAGTAACTTAAATTTATTTTTGTTCTTCTGTTTACCTCATCATCATATTGTGTATTAGAAGTAAAATGATAAAAGCATGCAGTCATAATGTATTAACAAAGACAAAGTTGTAATGAATGAAGAGTCAAAAGGACTTTGTAACATGGAAACTGATTTTTGTTTTTCTCTTTAAATGACTGGTAGTTTGTTGGGTCACAATGATTTGATGAAACAATAATCTGAATTACTGCTATCTAGTGTGAATAAGTTAAAATAATAATAATAAATAAATAAAAATATTGACATTATCTAAATAGCAACCTCCTAATTCTCTGAGTTATTGTTGTAAAACGTAAGGCCATAAAAGGGTGGTAAGGAAAAAGGCGGTCCCTGTGTGCTGAGTTGAGGTGGTTCTGGTCAGTGGGAAAGGGGAACTCAGACTGGACGACTCAGCCTTCTGCTGCTTCTCCTCTTTATTTTCCTTCAGCACACACACATGCCTCATTCAGAGGCAAACCACAGTCACACACACTCAGAGCCCGTCATGGCTATTCTTAGCTGCCTTCTGTGCTATTTTTAGCACACTACCGGTTTCCAGCCATTTAGGAGGGAGGGATCTCAGCCAACACAAAGGAACTGGACTCACTCCGCAAGCATATGTGTGTGTCTATGTGTGTGCGCCTTTGGAAACTTCATCTGGGACTAATCTGAAACAGCGTGGAGCCACACATGTGTGTAAAACAGTACTGACAAAACCCATCCCGAAAACTTAAAAGAAAGATTGGAAAACCAACCTCATAGAGTACTTCCCTTATGGCTAAAGATACTTTCCGAGGCACTACATCAACACATGTACACACATGTACACAGCAAGAGCAAGTTTAAGAAAAATAAGGCTAGCAGTAAAAGTAAAGGAATGCAGATCCTCTCCAGCTAAAAACAGCTACAAGTTTACATACTAAATGAACACAACTCAACAAAGTGATGCCGATCTGGCCTGTAGCCTGAAAAGACACACACACCACATGAGCAGAAAAAGATGACCAAGACAAAGAGACCTTTGTGTGACCAAACTGTGTCTAGCAGATATTTTATTGGTACAGCATTTTCACAGTTACGTGAATCCACTGCAGACTTCATACCACAGGCTCACTACTGTGTGCCTCACTACGTTCTCTTTCTAATGTGATTACTCAAAATTAAGGCATCAACATCAAGGGCCAAAGACATGCCCTACTCCTTTACTCTTTCACTCACTGCATAACCACAATATACACATGACTCCAAAAGGCTACACACAACAGTTACACAGTTAAACACAGTTTGGCTCCTATAATGGGAGAAGAGAGCTAACTGGGGCTGAATGCTCAGAAAAAGTAAAACCTTACTACAAATATCTATAATAAAAGATATTTGTAGGAAGGTGAGGAACTATGGAAGAGCTGAAGGAAGGAGGCTGTGAAAACAAAGGAAAGAGAAACAGAGTGAGGGGAAGATGTCATGTAGAGGTAAAGGTGCAGACACATAAGTTTACAAACGTTAGCAGCAGTAAATAACCGCTTGTTAACAGTGCAAGCATACAGCGCAATCGGAGGGTACCTACACAGATTATAGTAACAAGCTAAATAGGATTTTGATAGATTACAAGAGATTAGGCAGGGCATAAGCCTGGTTCTGACGGGGCAGGCCAAGAGACCATGTGGTGGGCCGCGTGGGCCCAAAAGCACAGGTACAAACAGTGCTGGAGACATGTGTATTGCGAGAGCAAGATATATGTCACACATGCACTTTCATTTCAACATGACACAGAAGGGGTCAAAGATCACAGTGTACACTGCCAATGCTCAAATTACTGGACAGAATTACTTTCCATTGCTATCATCAAGTCATGAAGTCATTGAACTTCACGCATAGTGACATGTGGGACTTTTCAGCCATTGGGAACTTGAGATGCTATTAAAAATTGCCACATACTGAGTGCACACTTAAAATTTAATGTAGTAATTTTTGTTATTACCACTTTTTACCAAAGTGTGTTAAAATGTTCTAAATACAGAAGAATGTACGGCACAGAGAGCCTATGGAGGCAAACTCTGTTATTGTGTTCTTCTAACACCATTACATAATTAAATGCCGGGCAAGGGGGAGCATAGTACAGTATTAGTAGTACAGTAGTTTTGCAGTATTTGAAAGCATTAGATCTTCTAGGTGTCTGCTGGAATTACTTACGTCCACAATGTCAGAGTTGGTTCTGCTCTCATGGGGCTCATTGTACTCGGTGTATTTGAGCAGGACCTTATCCATGTCTGTGCTGGCATACTGAAACAGCTTATTGGTGCTGTTGAAGATGATGAGGGCTATCTCACAATCACACAACACGCTCAGTTCATAGGCTTTCTTCATGAGACCAAACTTACGCTTAGTAAAGGTCACCTACAGGAAACAAACAGGATGAGGGACAATATCAGTCAATGCAGATCACATGGGGTATCCTAAATGCTTTTCTCTATTAAATCATATGTGAACTGGTGGATTTGTGTATAAGCATGAATAAAGAATGTACTTAAAAACCTTCTGAAGGTTCAAAACATCTTGTCATGTTGACAAGCTGATGATACGATGACTAATTTAACAAATAAATATTAGTAATTTAAAACGGCCATGGATGTGGATGTGTGTGTTTCCCTGAATCTGAGGAGGTCGGTGCAGCCCCACTGAGGGGTCAGGAAGCATATGTGCCTGCATTTCCTGTCATAACAGGAAGAGAGCAAATGCTGTCCCACATAAAGTGGACGCTCTTTTTATGACAATGCACACATTCAAAAGCAGTGCATAAGCTTTTTGAAGCAACAAAGTTCTCAAACTTAAATGTATAATAGGACAAAGATTAGCAAAATGGCATCCACACAAAGTTTTACTTATGTTGTACGTAGTGAGTGGTGAGGGTCATATGACATGGCATCATCATAGAGGAACTACAGTGTGTCACTCATGAGATTTTGAGAAGTTAAAATGTCCCCTTACATGTCTGTTCCGTTCATCCATAATCCGCGCTATCTGAATCTTTTTTCTCCCCATCTTCACTGTAGTTTTTTTTTCTGTTTATTTATCCTTTTAGCTTTCAATTCTTCTTTCTTGGATTTCCAGCTGTAGAACTTCACTTGCTCACTTTAAATGTCCAAATTGCTGCTGTCTGTTGGGGACAAAAAAACAAAAGTTTATTATTAGCCATTCTATGACATTATGAGTGTCAGGGGCTGTGATCGATTTCTGAGGGTGAGGAGTTGTCAACTTCTCTTTTCCCTCTTTACTAAAAAGGTGTATAATTGTCACAACAGTAGAGAACAACCACCAAACATGTATAAACCCAGCAGTTAATTACCAAAATTGGATTGCGTGTGTAAATGTGTCATGCTATACTGCAGAGTTAAACTGATCTGCACGCACAGACAGGCTACATATTGTTTCTTTGCATGGCCCTCCATTCACGGCTGCTGCATCCTCCTGACACACCCAGCACCAGCTTCCTTGGGGGGAAACAAACATGTCTAAATGCAAACACTACACTAGACTGAGACTGGCTCTATTACATAGAAAAATTACATTATAAAGTGCATTCACAGCTAACAGTAATTTGTAGTTGAAGTTAGGGCCCCTATAATGAATACTACCAATTACCAATCAATAGGATCCTTAGGACTGTAGGGTTGTCAATGCAATGTCATTTTTATTATTATTATTTTGTTTGTTTGTTTCCAGGGGTGGTCAGTGATGCACAGCTGATTTTTCGATAATAGAAAAAAAATCATACCAAATATCATTCATCAATCATTTGTCTGCATGTTGTACCCCTTAGCTAAACATGGCTAATATTTACAACCTGGCAATATTATCTATTATTACCGCAGTGTAATGTCTAGGACATTGTTGTTTTGAAAGGAGGAATCAGAAATCCTTCTTTCAAGGACTACCTGTAGTGTGTGAGATGCACCTCAGTGCCATGTGACCGTGTCTTGCTCCTCAAGTGGAGCTTAAGAGCTTGAGTCTCCAAGATAACTGGATGTTCACACACACTAAGAAAGACGCACACAAACACACACAGACAGGTTTTCTTGGCAGCTCAGATCTGTTACTGCAACAGGGCAAAGAAAGGCACATTTGGTTCCAGGACGTGCCAGCCTTCAAGTGCTTGATGTGAAATGGAGAATGAGATTTGGTCAGACGTAAGATGATGAGGGTGTGTACTCTGAACAACAGAGCAAAATTACACTGGTGCTCCCTGTGATATTCCTCATTCATGCTGATAAAGGCCATTTAGGTAGATAGCCAAAATATTATTATAATAAACAGTAAATAATAGCATCTGTGACTCTCAGATTAGGTAGGGCTAACAAAAACACACTAGTGTGGTTGGATATGAAGACCCCTTAAAATAACGTCTGCATGTACATAACACAAGCTTACTATAAATGTGTGTATTGAGTTCAGCACACTGCTTAGTTTGATGCATATTCTCCAGCCATGCCATTTGACTCAGGCCATTTCGGTACAGCATCAGTCACATTCTTTAAAGTAACCTAAAGTTCAATGTTTCTGACAATAAACCAAACCTTTTAATTGGGTCAACAATGATATGATCAACCTGCAGCAAGTAGAGGCATGCACCTCAGACGGCATTACAAGAATATCTAGAGTCTGAGTCACTCAACATCTGAGCGGACCTTCAGGAAAACGTTGCCAGAATCCACACAGTATAAATTTAGTGCAAGCAGACGAACACACTCAGCATGTTTGAATTACAGGCCAGCTGAGGGCCATGAGTTCTGCGAATATCAATACAAGTATCTGTGAGTCACATCTTTCTGAGTTACTTAATACAAAGTTTGATCTTCTGCAGTGTGACAGCAAAACTCCACCGAGCACAAGCCTCCATACTATTATTAGACACCACATACAACAGAAGATCTCCAAAAATAAAAGAGTGAACTTTTTACCCCAACCAACAATACGCTAGTTTTCTGGTTCACAGACACAAAGAACAAGCATCAAACATAACTCAGTCATCTCAGTCCTCAGCTGCTCTCACACTGTCTCTGCCTGCTTGCCCAATTATTTTCCAACACGCACAAGCACATACAGCACTCGTCCGGCACTGTGCCCCTCTCATGTATGCACTGTACATTCTGTGAGGGCGAGTCGCCCCGCTGGTGACATGTGGCAGTGCCCTTGTGTTCCTTGGCAGGTCATGCACATGCATAGATGAGGGGCAGAGAGGGGGAAGGTTGCAGACTTTGGTGTATGTCTGTCAGAAAGGCAGGGAACAGTTGGTGGGTCAACAGCTGGGAATGCCCCCCTGAGAGCCACTTCACATCCAACTGTACGGTCCATTTTCAGGAAGATAAGACCTTTTTACAGTCTGTACCAGGAACTAACTCTGAGATCGATAAAACAAGTGCTGGATGGTGGTACTTAATGCAGTCACCGGTGCCCACTAATTGCACTTGGGAATATTGATGTATAGAATACACTATGAATAGGTATAGCTGAGGTGTTAACTAAATTTATCTCCAAATTAACATTTCTGATCTGCACTTGGGCAACAGGAGCAAATAATATAAGTGAACAACCAGAGGTGGAAAATAACATATATTGTAAATGGATACAATTACTCACTGTTCACTGTACTCTGCATAGAAGAGCTGCCCTTTACCAGATGTATTTAGTGAAGCTTATTTGGTGGATACTAAATTATACTCTGTAACACAAAAGTCTTATGAAGAAGTAAGGTAGTACTAATTATTTGGTTGATTTGGTAAATCAATAATTGTGATTAAAGTGGCCCCAGCATTGCACTGAAAAAAGTAAAAATCAAGAAATAAAAATAAATAGTTCAAGCTAAATAAAAAAAAATAAATAAATAAACATATTGTCTGAATGATTAACTAACTATCTATGACCCATTAACTTTCATTCAGAAAGGCTGTTCACATTTCAGAGGAGTGGTCATCTATTATACAATGAGAATGGAAGCAAATTAAGGTTTTTGCTGTTATATAAAATGTTATATACTGACAAGTCTACAAGGCTGAGAGTAACAGTATTTGACAGTGTACAATTGCATTTTAACATTAAATGTCTATTACTTTTGATACAGGGATTTTCTTTCAAATTGAAAAGTGAGAAAAATGCTGTTTGCTTTTCAGTGCGTCTTGAGCATCTGTTTAAAATCACAATTTAAACAATGATAATGATAGTTATATAGATAAACACATGTGCAGTGTATCAAAATAATACTAACTTGAATTCATTCTAAAATCAACTCGTAACAGAGACATATCTGACTTGATAGGACCACATGAGAATCAGTGGCATTTCATGCATTGAGCACAGATGTGTTCTTAGCATTGAGGTCTAGCTGCCACACAAGCTGCCCTGTGTCTTAGTCTGATCAGAACATAGTGTTGTGCTCATGTTCAGAGCTGTGTGGAGAAAAACATTCTAATGTATAGACAGTGAATAAGACCATTAGACCATTAATACATAACCCAAGATAATAGTGAAGTCAACACCATAGTAAGGGATGTAAGCCTAAAACTATCGGAACCTGGATGACAGGCTTGAGCAGCAAAGCAAACTTTGATGTCACATTTTACTGACAGTAGCAGTTAGAGCATTTGCCAATTTACCTTTTAAGATTAGTGGGTTGATTCTCACTTTCACCAGAGCTGACTGTCATTCTGCACAAGGGCAAAACATTATCTGCCATACACTGGCACTGAATATTTCTTGTAAGTACCCAAAAGAGGTAGGTTTTGAGGCACCATATAAATGTCAATTTATATTTATTAAATCATAGACTTTAAACCGGTTGTCTCAGCACATTTGCAGAGGTAACTTGATCTAATGGTGTGGTTTTCTTTTAGGATATCCCTCTTTTGACAGTGAGTCAGGCATCCAGTGAAGCTTATAGCACATGCTACACACAATTTATCAGTATGATGTAGCCTAGAGATGAATAAAACGTCATGATCCCTCACAAACATCATGATATTAATGATCATAAAGGTCATAGGAAACAGGCCTATTGAGTTAAAAATATCCAAAGAAGAATGACATTACTTGTTCACTCACATGCACTCTACTTAAAAGTTCATTAAACCAGGAGACCATAACTCATTATCAATTAAACATTAGTAACAAACTACTTGGGTGGGTCAGCTCAAATAATAGGTCTACCTTCAGCGTCAGTTGAATCCCAGGCGTGTAAATTCCTATAATGCCGTGTCCCGGGACAGTTCTAGGCCTCGCCAGTTGTTGCTAAAAAATCCCGCTCAGCACTCCCAGGATCTAATGGCTTTAAGGGGAAATCGAGGCTTCCGACGTCAACTAGTTCCGATGTAAAAATCAAAGCGACAAGCACTTCGAGCTACATGCGCATCCAGAACAACTTTTTTCCTCACTCGGCCAACTTCTGTGCGTGGTCACGGCTATTGACACACTGAGGACTTCAGATGAGCACTTCTTGTTTGTGAGCAGAAGTATTTACTGATTCTCTCGTTTTTAGGTAGGTTACATAGGCGTCACACAACTCCCAAACTGCGCTCCTTCGGTCCATGCTTACCTCTGCGCTCACGCTCCTAAGGGACTCCGTTCTTAAAACTGTGCGCCCGTCCAGCGGCAGTCCATACGATGCTCGCGTCCGCCTCAGCAAGCACCTGAAAGTGAACACGCGCACGGACACGCGCCGAAAGAAAACACAAAAGAGTCAGGAAAGTAACATACTCAGTCTTTTGTGTCTTATCAACTGCCACTCTACCCTTTCTTCTGAACTACACGAGCAGCTACAAGAGCACTTTGGCCAATTCAGATCTGTATCAACAACCAAGTAAATGCTCTCGTGTGCTTTTCTGCCTCCAAGTGGCAACTCCTGGAGTTACACAGTAATTAGGTAATTTCTCTTCCCTCATGTCAGTGTAAAACTAGCTGCTTTGATAGCCTAATTTTCCATAAATGCCAAACAAAACCAGCATTTATATACATAGATTTTTTGTTAACTCTAGACTATTACAAATATGAAGTTGCTTCTCTTGACTGAAGACTTGCAGCTGATGGGCCACAGAATTGGCCAGGACAATACAGATTTTAACACTATGACCCCCTCTTATACAGACTAAGCTGTTTGATGATTAATCCAACATCTGTCATTCCCATTAATACATTTATGTGTAGGGTGCTCATTGAAATACTATACTATTTCATACTATTCTTTTATGAGAGCCAAAAATCACACTTAATCATGTAACACAAAATAATGCTTTTGAATGAAACAGTTTTTAATTCCCTAGCAGTCTGTGTGTGTGTGTGGGGGGGGTAACCTACCAGTTATGTCTTGTCTTGTCTTCACCTGGAAGGCTTCCACCAGCTCAGCGGTGGGTTTGCTTTCTCAATCCCTTGTATCCAACAAGAAACGTTTTTTAAAAATTAAAACTTTTTAAGCCAGACCAGCTGGCTTTCAGAGGCTGACCCAAACTGGGCTGTGAGTTTAGATACAGGGGGAATCTAGGCACCCAGGCCACACCCCCATTTCACTACACATCACTTTATCTTCCACACAGTTGTACAGCAGACCCTGTGACCTCCTGCGTCCCAGTGCTTAGTGCATGTCTGTGGACACACTGCTCACCTGTCACTGTCACTTGGGATATATTTAGTTTGGAGGTGTCATTGATGCGACTGCCTGTATATGTGTGTGTGTGTGTGTTTGGGGGTGGGGTGTAGAATGTGTTGCTGACACTCAGGGCCTCTGTGGCCCTCACTCTAAGAGCCCAGGATTACTGATCCAAAGACCACATTCTCGACACATTACAAGGGAGAGGGGGCAGATCAAACCTGCTGGCATGTCCTACATATCAGCACACTGAGCATCTGCTTGGCCGAGGATTACCCTCAGCTGTCCACTCCTGTCAGCTCCTGGAGCAGGAGGAGAGGGACCAGCACGGCCGCTACACTTTATTGATCTCCCTCAAGTATCAGAGCAGAGATGTCCCAGGCAGGGAAAAGTCACAGGACAACATTTTACGCAACTCTCTCCTGTTTAAAACTCAGTGGTCACTCTAGTTATGTTGAGCTGTAATGCATTTATTCTGTATAATCAGCAACAGACTCATTTCATATGTTAAGGCAATGTAAATAAAATAATACACATACTGCGTGGCAGAGTTTTTCTATGCTTTTTAACTGGCAACTGCAGGTTTTAGTCCCACAAAATGAAATCAACCTTCACACGACCCATGTGACTTTGGATTCCATGTTTACAGATACATCAATTTGTAAATAAATTACCTTTGAGGTGACAAAAATAAATTATAATTTATATTTTGCACATTTGTACTTAATTTAAATTCAATATTAAGCATGATGTCAATCCTCCATTCAGACAAAATGCTGGGCAGTCAAGTTGTTTAAATTTCATCACATTTGGCTTGGACAGATTTTTTTCACTTCCTCCAGTAAGAAAAATGCTGTTTAAGTAGACATCTTTTTAACCACTACTGTAAAGCTGTTTAGATTGTTCCTCAAACATTTAGACTTGAGGTCTGAGGGAAAATAGAAGAAATACAGGAAAGTTAAGCCGGAAAATTATGTCTTGAATAAATTCATGTGTGTAGTTCCGATGTAACACAAAAAACACAAAATGCAAGAAGTTAGAAAATAAAAAGTTTTCACTGCAACATTCAGAATCCATCACATTTTTATAAGCAGGGGATTCAAATTCAGTTCACCTCCAAAAGTTTATTGAAGGACCTCAACATAATGAATGAATATAAGTAGTGAATGGTTGGCAGTACTGTTGAGTAAGTAAACTTTCAGACATGCTAGTTATACACTAATGTTATTAAAACAAAAATATTTGTTTACCTGTTCTCCATTTATTATTAAGTAAAGTGATCTAAACTGACTGCCAAGTCCAAGAGAAAGTTTTTACAGAAAGACACAAAACATTTTAAGCACCAAAAAGATTAGTTTATGATTGCTACATTGTTTTGACCTGGCAAAGGTACTCTCTATAAGTAACTTGATTAGTTTATGGTTGGTATTATTGGTAGTTGGTGTTGGGCCCATGCTGTGCATGAAGGTGGATTGTGTAGGAGTATGACAAGGTGTAGCAGAAAAATAAACAACCTATGTCAAAAGCAATAAGCTGAACCAGATATGCATAACCAAAAATACATTATAATTGGAAGTATAGGGGCAAATTTAGTTACAGTTTTCATATTTCTTAAGTTTTTAATAAGACAACTCTTTTTTGTCAGTTGTTTTGTTGATTTCATAGTTGATCCTATACAGAGTAGTGTGAACTTACTGAAGTTGGGCTGTCTGACGGATAATATTACTGTGAAAGCCATGAGCGAGTGTAAACGAATCCATCCTCACCCAACTGCCAGGCATAACTCACAATCCACAGCATGTCTCTAGGCATTCCCCGCTCACGTCTGAGTCCTCTCTCTGCCTTATGCACAGGTACTGGTCAGATTTGCATTGCATTTGTTTGTGGTATTTTATATTTCTGTTATTGTTTTGAAAGTGAAGTACAAGTATTCAAAATTGTTATTATTATTTGTCAGTAGAAGTAGCTCAGTTTATTTAAACTAATATTTCTTCACATCACAAGGCATCAATGACAAACTAGCATAATTTTCCTTACAAAAGACTAATCATTGTTGATCTCAAAGATCTGCTAATTAGCTGAGATAGCTACATCCACAGGTCTGTTGCCATTGTACATCACTGTTGACATCCTGGTATCCATATAGGTTGAAGGCATACTTGTGGGAAGGGTTAAAGGTGAGGGCCTTCACCTGGCTGGACACTCCTGCCACTCTCAGCTGTGACACATGTCATAAACTTGAAATCTACAAATGTTTCCAAACATACAAAGGGCACTACTTATTAATTACCAACTATTTGGCTATTGGAAATGTTTGTTTGTTTTGTTTATTTAATTAAAATTTCATTATAATGACGCTTGTAGAACAATTTATTGCTATCAAAGATCTCCCCAAACGAGTCAGTGAACAGCTCAGCAGTGTGTCCCCATGGTGCCCTTGTCTCAGCGAGGGTCAGAGGGTAAGTGTTGTCACATGGCCAGCATAGCTCTCCTAATGACTGACAGGTGGACACAAGAGTAAGAACTCTGGTTACCAATGAGTCACTTTACTGCAGCTTATGAGACAAATGCAATGCAGTTCAAAATAAAAAAATATATATTCAAAATAAAAAAGATTCCTGATCAAAGCTATAAATACAGGATAATAAATATATTAATGTTTATATGTACACAAATATAGATGGCATATCAAATAAGACAAAAAAAAGTAATTAAATGTCTAATGCCAGAATGATATCCCATATATTAGGTGTTTAACCTAGCTCATAATGTTGAATATTGGTTTGGGCTGTGCCTCTAACTCCTTAGCACTCCTTAGCTCTATTTATTAATTGATTATGCCCTGACAGCTACATTGTACTCTTTTAATCTTTTAAATGTCTCCTAAATCTGATTCCTTTTTTACATATGCTAGGTTTGAATGTGAGCAACAGACGGCACTGCCATTTCCCTCAGGAGAAATAAAGTATCTATCCACCCATCCATCCATTGGTAGATTGACCCCTAAACTAAAAAGCAATTAAATGATGCTGAACTCAGCCAGACTTAAGTATTTTTAGGATTCTCATCAGGAGAAATGACTGCAGCCAATACAAATAAGAGTGTATACATTTGTTAGAGTGTGCAAACTGGTAGAGTGGAAACCATGGGGGGGGGTTGTAACTGGGGAGGAACTGGGCTGGTTTATTTCTGGAGCATGTGTTGCTCTGGTCAGGGACCAACAGCTGAGCATGTGACAAAGCAAGGGCAACTCATGTCTGTCCAGGCAGTGATGGCTACATGTAGGTTGGGGTTGGAAGATCATCGCCATCATCTCTACAGCAGTAGCAGATATTCTGAGATTTTTTTCTGTCAGCTCTTTTACAACTTCCTAATCTTTCTGAAACTTTAGGCTTCAATTACACAGGAGAACACCACAGAGTTCCCCATTTTGTCATTGTTCATAACTTTATCCAAACCACTCACAAAGTAATATGGGTTACCTCGGGACCTGCATATAAAATTTGTGGCCACATAGACATAAATAAGGGCACTGCCATTAATTCTTTTCATCTGATATTTTCTTTACTGTTGTAAATCAAATGTATTTATTCATTAACAAACGAAAGGCAATTTTACATCTGCAGTCCCTGGAAACTTTGTGTTAGATGTGATTAGTTCTGACGGTAATGGTTCTGACTCAAAACTTGTTGCTCCCTCTAGCGGGCAACTAGAGTATAATATTTAAGTATTAAAGCCCCAGTTTTTGTCAAATTTAATAATAAAAAAAAAAAATAATAATAATAAAATACAATAACACACTTTTGACAGACATACACAATATTTCACCAGAGAAGGTACTGTAAAATATTTAATGCATGCTTAATTAATGGACATGAGACACAAGACAAGTATTTTTTCTTGACAGTGGAGATGATCCCATTATAAAAACAATGAGGTGAATGCCCATGAAAATCTACAATTGGTTCAGTTATTTACATAGAGATGTCTCAAATAAGATATCCAACTGTTCAGAAAAGGTCATCAGAGTTTTCCAGACAAGGATTAGGTTTCTCCTGTCATAATTGCAAGGAATTCGTCCTGGTTTACTGACAGAGACAGACAAAAAAAGAGATTGTGTCAGAAAGAGTAGTTACTGCCTACTAGCCAGTACTATTTTCAGGCTGCTGTCTTAATTGACATTCACTACTACAGTGTTATATTTATAACTCAGCTAGCAAAGGTAGTCGTGTAGTGTAGGTGGGGTCACTTACTTTCACCATCTCCGTCAATATCAAACTCGTCAATCATGCTTCGCAGCTCTTCATCACTAATGCTTTCTCCAAGTTCCCGTGCGACCCGTCTCAGGTTCCTCAGACTGATTTTCCCTGATTCATCGTCATCAAACAATCTGAAAGCTTTTAAGATCTCTTCCTTTGGGTCTCGTTCCAATATTCGGTCTGTTACTGTAGAAAAGAGATTGTACAGTTACAAGACTTGCCATTTAAAAAAAGCTAAAACACAAAAAATACAAAATACTTGCCAACTTCATTAAAATCCTCAAATGTAATCTTTCCATTTCCTTCTCTGTCGTAGTCTTTTAGTATTTTTAAAACGTCCACTTTTTTTACTTCAAATCCAAGCGCTCTCATTGCAACCTGCGGTGGTCATATACTTTGTAATTAGTAAAGATGCTTAAGAACACCAAAATGCAAACTTTTATTACTGAACAATTATAGCATGATGTGCATAAACAATTACTTAATAATGTTACTTACTAGTGATGTACTACTTGGGCTTAAAATCAAATTGAGGTCTGATCCCTCTGATTTTTACTTATACTGTCTGATCTTGAGTCATTACTTATTTTGTTAAATGCAGCTCTATGTTCAAGCAGACATTTTTCTAATGCATTCCTCCTATTGGTCAGCCTCTGTCATGAGCATAAACCATAGACTGTATTATAGATATTATATGTCTATGGACTGTATATATACAGTCTATGGCATAGACTATATAAAAAAGTGGCCTAAGCGAGTGTGAGGTCACCCATAGCATTCAGCGCCACTCAAATGAAGCTCACAATGCTAACAATTATAGGGGTGAATTTGGAGGCAGGCTCCATGTTATGAATAGGATTTTTTTAATGGACAAAATAGCAGGAAAAAAACCCAAAAACACCAGGATCATGTAGAGTGAGTTAATACGAACATTTTAGGACCAAAATAACGAGGCTCACAGCAGCAGTTACAGAGAGGAGCCATAATATTCTAAAGTAAGTCAATGGGAGCAGGGTCAGAAGGAGCTGGAAATGCCCGCATGCTCACGTTCTGTTTGGAACCCTTTAATAGATCCATGTTTGGAACGCAGTAGCTGGTGTGTTACCTATGTGCATATATATATACAGTCTATGGTCATGAGTGATACGTGAATTAAACCATTGTGGACTCTCAGAAGTAGTTGAGCGCTTTAATGACATCTAAATAAAGTATAAAGTTACTAACTGCATGAATTTGTGAAATCATGAGCTTGGTTCTAGAAAAATTTTATTGGCCAGCCCTACTGCTAATAGTTACTGGAGACATAATGACTATAAAGTACTACATGACTAGCATGAGCTACCTTAAGTTCATGGTAGTCAATCTCTTTATCTTTGTCCGTGTCAAACAGCTCAAACGCCTCTTTAATTTCGTGTTTCTGATCTTCAGTGAGCTCTCTTCTTTTCTTGCGTTTAGTTTTGTCCACAGCAAGCTCAGTTCTGGAAAAAAAAAAAAAAAGCATCGTTGAACTGATTTGGAACAAGCATTAATTGATCCATGGTGTAATGTTACAGATGCAATATGTAACTTTTAAAATGTTCAGTATGACTTTAAACCTCTCTAACGTTAACTGCATAAAGACAGGCAAGGGGCGCTAGCATAATGAGACAAGCTGGTGGCGGACCTTCTACCTGAAGATACATTACGACTCTTTAACGTGTTTGGCGAGAGTATAAATTATTACTGTCGGATCAGTAGTGGTAGTATTGTAACAAATCAGTCAATAAACATCAACACCACAAAGAGCAATCAAGGGTGTGCTATCCCCAACCTTAGCATAGAAGATAGCTATCTAAAACAAAGCCTTGTAACATGCTACATGCATTTGATTTAAGTAAAAATGTATGTAACCGGTTTACCTCAGGGACAGACTCATTGTATAACAATACAATATATGCACGGGTCTCAAATTCAAACCACTGATCCAAAGAAACACAACAAATCCCTTTATCCGCGCTCGCTCACACAAATCATCTCTATTGGTCTGTAGTTACTAGGCAACAGTAAAGTAAGCGCTGATTGGTTTTTGTCAACCGAAGTATGAATGCGTTAATTAATATGAATACCTTGATGGTTAACCTAATTTTGTAGTAGTGTTATATTGTTTCAACATCCAATGTTAAAATCTGGTATGATTAATACTGTGTTATCATCTCCTCACTTTCTTTACCACGGAAAGTAAGTTCAATAGGGACCTCTAGTGAAAATTTGTTGCCAATGCCCATGAGGTTAAAAGCATGGCTCTATTTATTTATTTTTTTCTTAATTAAATTTATTGCATATGTACATACAGGTTATTATAAACTAATTATTCTAACCATACAAGAAAACAGATTATTAAGATTATTAATAACAAGCATTAGCCGACAGTTTTTTGTTTTTTTTTCAGTTAGTCCCTCACCTTTTTTGTTGAACATCAAACACCTAAACAGGAGTGCTCGTAATACTCACACTCTCCTGAAAATTCGTTGTTTGAGTCAATTTTGTGAGTTTTCAGACGTAAAGCTTTACAATTTGAAGTGACTGCAATTTAGTGGCCAAAACATGAAATAATACACAAAATATGGTATTTTCAAAGAGTAGGAAGGTCTACAAAAATGATAAAACTAAATCGTATCTGAAGGAGCTGTGCAAGAAACACACATGTTCAAATGATTTAATATTGCCAACATAAAGCTTGTCACTGTAGATTTATTCACAGTGGGGAGACTAAATAAAACTGAAGTAAGAGCAATGTAACTTCAATGAAAATATTACTCAAGTAGGAAGTATGCTGCAAGAAAAGTACTCTGACTACAATTTCTTTAAAAAGTTACTCAAGTAAAAATACTAAAAAAAACTGAGTACCATGTGTATATATATATATATATATATATATATATATATATATATATATATATATATATATATATATATATATATATATATATATATATATATATATATATATATATATATATATATATTTATATTTTATATATATTTATATATATATATATTTTTTTTTATATATTTTTGTTTTGTTAGTTTTTTTTTCTTTTTCTTCCACTTATTTGTGGTTGGGTTGCGAGGGGCAGCAGTCTAACCAGGGACTCCCAGACTTCCTTCACCCCAGACACGTCCTCCAGCTCCTCCGGGGGGACCCCGAGGCGTTCCCAGGCCAGCCGAGACACATAGTCCCTCCAGCATGTCCTGGGTCTTCCCCGGGGCGTCCTTTCGGTAGAACATGCTCGGAACACCTCCTGAGGGAGGCACCCAGGAGGCATCCGGAACAGATGCCCAAGCCACCTCAGCTGGCTCCTCTCGACGTGGAGGAGTCTACTCCAAGCTCCTTCTGTGTGACTGAACTCCTCACCCTATCTCTAAGGGAGCGCCCAGCCACCCTGCGAAGGAAACTCATTTCGAGCGCTTGTATCTGCGATCTAGGCCTTTTGGTCATTAATCAAAGCTCATGACCGTAGGTAAGGGTAGGAATGCAGATTGACCAGTAAATCAAGAGCTTTCCCTTTCGGCTCAGCTCCCTCTTCACCACAGTGGTCGGATACAGTGACTGCATCACTGCCGACACTGCAACGATCCACCTGTCGACCTCACGTTCAATCCTCTCCTCACTCGTGAACAAGACCCCGAGATACTTGAACTCCTCCACTTGAGGCAAGGACTCTCCACCCACCCGGAGAGGACAAGCCACCTTTTTCTGGTCGAGAACCATGGCCTCGGACTTGGAAGAGTTGATCCTCATCCCAGCCACTTCACACTTGGCTGCAAACCTCTCCAGTGCAAATTGCAGGTCCTGGCTTGATGGAGCCAACAGGACAACATTGTCTGCAAACAGCAGAGATGAGATCCTGTGGTCCCCAACCCGGACCCCCTCCGGCCCCTGACTGCGCCTAGAAATTCTGTCCATAAATACAAGGAACAGAACCGGTGACAAAGGGCAGCCCTGGTGGAGTCCAACATGCACCGGGAACAGGTCTGATTTACTGCCGGCAATGCGAACACAGCTCCTGCTCCGGTCATACAGGGACCGGACAGCCCTTAGCAAAGGGCCTTGAACCCCATACTCCCAGAGCACCCCCCACAGGACACCATGAGGGACACGGTCGAAAGCCTTCTCCAGATCCACAAAACACATGTGGACTGGTTGGGCAAACGCTCATGAACCCTCAAGCACCCGATGGAGAGTGTAGAGCTGTTCCAGTGTTCCACGGCCAGGACGAAAACCACACTGCTCCTCCTGGATCCGAGGTTCAACTATTGACCAGATTCTCCTCTCCAGTAGGCTGGCATAGACCTTACTGGGGAGGCTGAGGAGTGTGATTCCCCTGTAGCTGGAACACACCCTCTGGTTCCCCTTCTTATACCACCACCACTCCGGTTTGCCAGTCCAGAGTCACTGTCCCAGACTGCCACGAGATGTTGAAGAGGCGTGTCAGCCAAGACAGCCCTGCAACATTCAGAGACTTAAGATATTCAGATCTCATCCACCCCCGGAGCCTTTCCACCAAGGAGCTTGCAAACCACCTCAGTGACTTCAGCCAGGGTAATGAATGAGTCCGCCTCCAAGTCTCCAGCCTCGGCTTCCTCCTCAGAAGTTGGGATTCAGGAGATCCTCAAAGTATTCCTTCCACTGCTGGACAACGTCCCCAGTCAAGGTCAACAGCTCTCCCCCCGCACTGTAAACAGTGTTGGTGAAAGACTGCTTCCCCCTCCTGAGGCACCAGACGGTTTGCCAGAATCTCTTAGAGGCTGTCCGATAGTCCTCCTCCATGGCCTCGCTGAACTCCTCCGAGCTCAGAGTTTTTGCCTCTGTGACCGCACGGGCTGCAGCACGCTTGGCTCACCGGTACCCATCACCTGCCTCAGGAGTCCCATGAGCCAACAAGGCCCGATAGGACTCCTTCTTCAGCCTGATGGCATCCCTTACTTCCGGTGTCCACCACCAGGTTCGGGGATGACTGCCGCGAAAGGCACCTTCTCAGGCTTCTCCCGGGGTGTAAGTTGAAAGTCCTTCTGACTGAGGGCTCTGCCAGACGTTCCCAACAGACTCACTACACGCTGGGCCTGCCAGGTCTTTCCGGCTTCCTTCTCTGCCAGCGAACCCAACTCACAACCAGGTGGTGATCAGTTGACAGCTCAGCCCCCTCTTCACCCGAGTGTCCAAGACACACGGCCGGAGGTCAGATGACACGACTACAAAGTCGATCATCGACCTCCGGCCTAGGGTGTCCTGGTGCCACGTGCAGTGATGGACACCCTTGTGCTCAAACATGGTGTTTGTTATGGACAAACCGTGACTAGCACAGAAGTCCAATAACAGAACACCGCTTGGGTTCAGATCAGTAAGGCCATTCCTCCCAGTCACCCCTCTCCGCAGCCAAAACCAGAGAAATAGAGAGTCCAGCCCCTCTCAAGTAGTTGGTTTCCAGAGCCCATACTGTGCGTGGAGGTGAAGCTGACTATATCTAGTCGGTAACGCTCAACCTCCTGCACAAGCTCAGGCTCCTTTCCCCCCCAGCAAGGTGACATTCCATGTCCCCAGAGCTAGTCTCCATGTTCAGAGATCCGGTAATCGAGTTCCCCGCCTTTGACTGCCACCCAGATGCCCTATATGGCTCCTCAAAGAGAGCTTATTTTACTTGCAATAAATAAACATCACATCAACCCATGGCTTTCTCGGCCTACAAATTAGCCCATCTACACTCCACAAAGATAAAACACTTTTATGAACTAAACAAAACCCAGGTGACTAAAATGGCAATTGACAAAGCCTAAAGGGAAATCTGACAGTGTTTGGATTATTGGTTAGTGATATGAAATGTCACTAATTAGCAACATTTATTATTATTTATTATAACATAATTATAACATAATTATTAATTAGCACACTCTTCTTAAAGCTTTAGTCTAACACTTCTGGTCACTTCTGGTTTGTAATTTATGGATTTGTATAGTTAGGCTAGACTTCACTTCTCTCTCTCTTTGACAGTTAAAGGTGCCACTTGGTCTCACCTTATCTCCAAATGCCTCCTTCCCCACATCTGTGAGCTCAGATAGAGACTGGTCGGACACAAGTTCTATCTGTTCCAGAAAACACCCAGGATTTCCCCTCCACATCCTCACGGACTGAAAAGAACTAGCCTTATTTAGCCTAAACCATTTTGTGCTGAGTTAGTGATGTTCTGTCTGCTGCATTTTCTGTCTCTCTCATGTTTGTCCTATAGTGAACATTTAGGTCTCCTCTTTCAAGCAAATTGTACCCAAATCTTATTGAGGAGCCAAATTGGTAAGACTTTACCAGATCCAAAATCATTGGCTTATACAGAGACATCTTTCTGAGGAAACATGTGAGCAAGCCGCTGCAGTGCATGTGGGGTAAGCACAAGGCCGGACATTTATCCCAGCCTGTCCACATCCGGGCAGCTGAAGGGTGAGGATGGGGGTAGGGTGGAGTGAGACCTGGACTTGCTTCAAAAAGCACCTTCTGTTTTGGACCAACAAACTTTGTAACCCTAATCTTTGTTTTTTCTAAGTATTTTGTTCACAATTTGAAAACCTGAAACAAATGAGATAGATTCACTGTGGATTATATAAATGTCAGTAGCATGCATATTTGATATATTTTTTCTTCTTGATGATGATGAATTGTGAATGACTCTTCATACAGAAAGGGTGTGGTGGTTACTCCAAGCATATTAAATCCTAGTGTTAGGCAACTATGTGTTCATGCCATTAAACCAAATTCCCTCAACCCCCTCCCCAAACTTGTAGAAAGACCCCTTGTATACTCAGACATAGTGCAACAAGTCCCTTTTAGCTGGTAGGAAACAATAAAATCAAAAGTGCAGACATATATTATTTTACAGACCAATGTCATCAAAAGGAAAGTGGTAAATCTTTTTGATGTGGTGCCAATTCAGCTACAAGACAGTTGTGTGTTGTAGCAATTACTTTACTACAGGCCAGTCTTGCTAAACAAAGCCT